GGGTTTCACCATGTTGGCCAGGCTGGTCTTGAACTCCTGACCTCATGATCTGCCCACACTGGCCTCCCAAAGTGCTGGGATTACAGGTGTGAGCCACCGTGCCTGGTCCCCCAGCTTGAAAAATAAAAGATAAGGCAGAATTGATTTGAGGGAGCTGTGGTGATAGTTACATGGACCACCACAATCAGGTCCTGTGGTTGGGGAAGAAATTGGACTCAGCTCCCTGAAACGTTTTTAGTAGTTATTCTCTCACTGCCAGCCGGTTTGTGACCCAGGAGCTTGGTCATAGGTTGCGGTGATGGATATGTGGTCAGATCCAGGGAGGCAGCCACCCAACCTCCTCAGTTGTCTCTGGTAGGAAGACCTGGGATCCTGGATTCAGGCCCAAGAGCACATCTGAAGACAGCTCTGGATGCTTGTGGCAGGGGTTGCTCCCTCCTTCCATGGGAATGACACTGCATCGAGCCGGCACACGCAGGCCCAAAGAGACTACACCTCCCATTTCCCGTCTGGTGAGACGTGGCCACAAGACTAAGCTCAGTGCAAAGGTAAATGTGGCAGGTACAGGTGTCACAGGGACAAGGGCAGCACCCTAGCTGGTGGCAGAGATTAACATGGGAGATGGGGCTCCTCTGCTTCCTCGTGAAACAAAAAACATCCCAATGACCTGAGCCCGGACCCTCTGCCTCTGGGTTACCTGTGCAAGAGAGAAACAAGTCTCTGTAGCTTACACATATGCTGTGTGCAGCCAAGCCTATCCTCACCCACCAGGCTCTACAGGGGAGTTGGTCTGGAAAGCACTTCCTCGGGAAATGTAGACCATGCTGGGGACAGCTGGTTTAGGAAATGCAAAACGTATTGTGAGAATCATTTCCACGTTATTCCCAAAGGTGGAACTAGGGGATCCAGCATTAGTTAAAGGAAAGCAGTGGTCTGATGTGAAAGGGACAGGCTGCCGTGTAAGGACGCACCCTGCTGCTGAGAGACACCCACGTGGTTGGAGTGGGCTCTGCCGGGCACCAGTGGGGGACGAAAAACCCTGTAACTCCAAGAGTGTAGGAAACTCTGGCAACAGACTTTAGAACCTGACTTCAGAGAAGGGCAGCCGACTGCCACCCTCCCCGATCAGTCATCCTGCCGCCCTCAGGAGCCAAGGGACAGGGCGGTTCAGCCTGTGCCTGCCAGAGTGAGGCCACACTTTGGGTCCTGAGACCGCACACCAGGACAAATTGCCTGGATGCAGGCACCCCACACAGTGGCCCCCACACGCTGAAGGCTGTTCCATCACCCCTGCCTGCGGAGGGCCCTCAGTATGGCACTCCACGTCTGACCAGGTGGGATACTCACGGCTCATGAGTCAAGAACCAGTAAGGGCCAGGTGCAGTGGCTCATGCCTGTAATCCCAGCACTTTGGGAGGCCGAGGTGGGTAGATAATTTGAAATCAAGAGTTTGAGACCAGCCTGACCAACATGGTGAAACCCCATCTCTACTAAAAATACAAAAAAATTAGGCAGGCATGGTGGCGCACGCCTGCAGTCCCAGCTACTCTGGAGGCTGAGGCAGAAGAATAGCTTGAACCTGGGAAGCGGAGGTTGCAGTGAGCCGAGATCGCACCAGTGCACTCCAGCCTGGGTGACAGAGTGAGATTTGGTCTCCAAAAAAAAAAAAAAAAAAAAAAAAACCAGTGAGGAGCACGTGAAGGGCAGATGACCCTGAACCCAGGAAGGGCCAGCACATCCCTGCCAGCTGGGCCGAGGGGGCTTCTCACCGGGTGCAGATGACCATGCAGGCGATGCCCAGCAGCTGGAGCCTGTACCGCGGCACCAGCCTCCTCCGCAGGTACCGGTCCACACACTCCACGGTCAGGTGCAGACACAGGCTTGTGAAGTCCTTCATGGTGGCAACTTCCACCAGCCAGTCGATCAGAATGTACCTGCGGAAAGAGCAGCACGTGGGAACTAGGGCAGGCATTCTCCATGCGTCCCTGTCTGCAGTTTCAACTCTACCTGTTGGGCCCGACCAAATAACCTGGCTAGCTCTGTAATCATGGGTTTACCCTGGAACCCAGGCTGGACAGGCCATGTCACAGGAAGCCCGGGAGGCTCCATGGGTCCCAGCCCCGAAGCAGGCCCCACATCCTTCGACTGTGTTCCTGGGAGGCGGATGGACTTGCAGATCTCTGCACCCACCCTCCCTCCCCCAAGACCACATGTTCCTGGTGCTCCCAAACCCAAGCGCTTGGAGACCTCGACCTGGCGCAAAGCGAAAAGTCAGCCTGCAGCCGTTGATCCACCCACAGTAGATGAACCCTGACCCTCAGGGCATGCAGGTAGCGGCAGAAGGTAGACAGTCGCAAAGGAATGCCACAGGATGCCCCATATGGTAAATGCCTTTCTGAATAGAGTGGAGACACTTGTCTTTTTTTGAAACAGTCTCACTCTGTCACCCAGACTGGAGTGCAGTGGCGTAATCTCAGTTCACTACAAACTCCGCCTCCCGGGTTCGAGTGATTCTCTTGCCTCAGCCTCCCCAGTAGCTGGGATGAAATGCGCACACCACCACACCCAGCTAATTTTTGTATTTTTTTTTTTTTGAGATGGAGTCTCGCTCTGTCGTCCAGTCTGGAGTGCAGTGGCACAATCTTGGTTCACTGCAACCTGCACCTCCTGGGTTCAAGTGATTCTCCTGCCTCAGCTTCCCGAGTAGCTGGGACTATAGGCACGTGCCACCATGCCCAGGTAATTTTTTCTCTTTTTAGTAGAGGTGGGGTGTCACCGTATTTGCCAGGATGGTCTCAATCTCCTGACCTCATGATCCACCTCCCTTGGCCTCCCAAAGTGCTGGGATTACAGACGTGAGCCACTGCACCCGGCCTAATTTTTGTATTTTTGGTAGAGAGAGGGTTTCATCATGATGGCCAGGCTGGTCTAGAACTCCTGACCTCAGGTGATCTGCTTGCCTCAGCTTCCCAAAGTGCAGGGATGACAGGCATGAGCCACTGCACCCGGCTGTAGATGCTTGTCTGAAAGCAGAGGGGTCAGAGTGAACAGAAAGCAAGAGAGGAGTGGGAGGATGGGTGATTCTGCTGGACAGGCAGCGCAGGTGCCAGGTGTCAGCCCAGACACAGGCATCTTCATAGGTGGAGGGGAGGAGAGGAAGACGGGCCGAGGCGTGAAAAGAAGGGCAGAGGAGGAGCAGATGAGCCTCTATGTCCTCCCAGAACACAGAACATGCAAGATCCAGGTGTTTAAGGTTTAAACTGGCCTCTACTGTGAACAGACTACAAAGCTTACTCAAAGCAGATGGATTTAACACGCTTAATGATCGGACTTCTAAAAACAACCACTGGGTCAGGAATGGGGGCCTATAATCCCAGCACTTTGGGAGGCCAAGGAGGGCAGATCACCGGAGGTCAGGAGTTCAAGACCAGCCTGGCCAATATGGTGAAATCCTGTCTCTACCAAAAAAATACAAAAATTAGCTAGGTGTGGTGGTGCATGCCTATAGTCCCAGCCACTTGGAAGGCTGAGGTGGGAGAATTGCTTGAACCCAGGAGGCGGAGGCTGCAGTGAGCTGAGATCACACCAGTACGCTCCAGTCTGGGCAACAGGGTGAGACTCCATCTCAAAAAAAAAAAAAAAATTAATTAATTAATTTAAAAAATAAAAATAAAAACAGGGCTAGGCACAGTAGCTCATGCCTGTATTCCCAGAACTTTGGGAGGCTGAGGCGGGTGGATCATGAGGTCAGGAGTTCAAGACCAGACTGACCAAGATGGTGAAACCCCATCTCTACTAAAAATACAAAAATCAGCCAGGCGCAGTGGCAGGCACCTGTAATCCCAGCTACTCGGGCGGTTGAGACAGGAAAATCGCTTGACCCAGGAGGCAGAGGTAGTGGTGAGCCGAGATCGCACCATTGCACTCTAGCCTGGGCAACAAGGGCAAAAGCCCTTCTCCAAATAAATAAATAAATATAAGGTTTTATGTTTTTGGATAAAACAATATTGTAAATAGTAGGCCGGGAGCGGTGGCCCATGCCTGTAACCCCAGCTCTTTGGGAGGCCGAGGTGGGCAGATCCCTTGAGGTCAACAGTTTGAGACCAGCCTGGCCAAAATGCTGAAACCCTGTCTTTACTAATAATACAAAAATTAGCCGGGCGTGGTGGTGGACTCATGTAGTCCCAAATGCTCAGGAGGCTGAGGCACGAAAATCGCTTGAACCCCAGGAGGCGGAGGTTGCAATCAGCCAAAATCGCGCCACTGCACTCTAGCCTGGGAGATCGAGTGAGACTGTGTCTCAAAAAAAAAAAAAAGAGGCCGGGCGCGGTGGCTCATGCCTGTAATCCCAGCACTTTGGGAGGCCAAGGTGGGTGGATCACGATGTCAGGAGATCGAGACCATCCTGGCTAACACAGTGAAACCCCATCTCACTAAAAGTACAAAAAATTAGCTGGGCGTGGTGGTAGTGCCTGTAGTCCCAGCTACTCGGGAAGCTGAGGCAGGAGAATGGTGCGAACCCAGAAGGCGGAGCTTGCAGTGAGCCGAGATCGCGCCACTGAACTCCAGCCTGGGCAACAGAGCGAGACTCCGTCTCAAAAAAAAAAGAAAGAAAGAAAGAAGACAATATTGTAAATAGTGGCATACACCAAATTAAAGAAAAAGGAAGAATGGCCAGGCACAGTGGCTCACGCCTGTAATCCCAGCACTTTGGGAGGCCAAGGCAGGCAGATCACCTGAAGTCAGGAGTTCCAGACCAGGCTGACCAACATGGAGAAACCCTGTCTCTTTTAAAAATACAAAATTAGCTGGACATGGTGGCGCATGCCTGTAATCCCAGCTACTCGGGAGGTAGAGGCAGGAAAATCGCTTGAATCCAGGAGGTGGAGGTTGTGGTAAGCGGAGATGGCACCATTGCACTCCAGCCTGGGCAGTCAGAGGAAACTCCATCTCAAAAAAAAAAAAAAGGAAGAATGTGACTGGCTTCTTACATTTGCCAAATAGAAGCAAAAGAAACCTTTCTAACTCATGTAGTAGTAACCCAGCCACTAGTATTTGGTGATTAGATTCTAAGTCTGCATATATATAAGCCTGGCCCCTAGTATGTATTATCATACCCCTATTTAAAATGATAGGAAGTATTTATCATGAGCTTCTTATCTTTTGGCCTAATTACATTTCTGTTGCAGTCTATCATAAAGAAAAAAACTAACAGTTCCAGACCAGCCTGACCAACATGGAGAAACCCTGTCTCTTTTAAAAATACAAAATTAGCTGGACATGGTGGCGCATGCCTGTAATCCCAGCTACTCAGGAGGTAGAGGCAGGAGAATCACTTGAACCCAGGAGGTGGAGGTTGTGGCAAGCGGAAATGGTACCATTGCACTCCAGCCTGCAGTCAGAGGGGAAACTCCATCTCAAAAAAAAAAAGGAAGAATGTGACTGGCTTCTTTTGGGGAGTATCTACAATAGAAGCAAAAGAAACCTTCTAACCTTATGTAGTAGTAACCCAGTCACTAGTATTTGGTGATTAGATTCTAAGTCTGTATATATATAAGCCTGGCTCTCAGTATGTATTATATTTATACTCATTTAAAATGATAGGAAGTATTTATCATATGAGCTTATCTTTGGCCTAATTACATTTCTGTTGCAGTCTATCATAGAAAACTAACGAAAAATTTTAATATATGAAGTTGTTTATCAGAATTGTAAATTAAAATAGCTGCCCAAATTAGAGTAATGGTTAGGTACCTGGTACAAACATTTGATGGAATATTCTACAAGCATCACGCTTATGAATTTGAAATAATAATTAATTTTGTTTTTATGATGACCTTTGCTTCTTCTGTCACCCAGGCTGGAGTGCAGTTACATGATTCAGCTCACTGCAACTCGCCTGAGCTTCAAGTGATTTCGGTGGCCTCAGCCTCCCGTAGCTGGGATTACAGGCGATTCCTCCCACGCCTAAGGTAAGTTTTTGCATTTTTAGGTTTCACTATTGGCCAGGCTTGAACTCCTGGTCTCAAGTGATCTGCCTACCTTGGCCTCCCAAAGTACTGTGATAACAGGTATAAGCCACTGCGCCCAGCTAAAAAAATAATACTTATTATGACTGTGAAAATTGAATAAAATATTGTATAGAGGCTGTGCGTAGTGGCTCATGCCTGTAATCCAATGCTTTGGGAGGCCATGATAGGAGGGTCACTTGAGGCCAGGAGTTTAACTCTACCCCCACCAAAAAAAATCAAATGAAATTAGCTGGACATGGTGGTGCACACCTGTAGTCCTAGCTCCTTGAGAGGCTGAGGTGAGAGGATTGCTTGAGCCCAGGAGTTTGAGGTTACAGTGGGCTACGATTCATAGTTACAACTCTTTGCTTAAAGAAGAAATAAATGTGAGCTAACAAAGGAGGTAAAAGTTGTCTTAGGAATTCAAGGATATCTCATGGAACTCAAGGGATGGCAGAATATGTCTTTCTGGAATTTACATGCTAACTATGTATCTACAAAACATTTAATGACTTTTAATCTCTGTTAGTATTTTATGCAGAATATTGTTCACCAGCATATAAAGATATTAGATATAAAGATATCTAATATCTAAATTCATCTTTCATAATTCACTATCATTAAATACATTCCTGTTGAAACTAATATGACTCAGAACTGAACATGTCTTTTGTGTGAAATCATCAGTTCTTAGAGTATGTAAACCTTGAGAGCTCTGATTGGACTTAATTCTTAGTGTTTAGACCCTTCAATTATTTTAACTCTGCATTTTTAGTTGACCAACAAAAATATTATGTTCAAAATAAAAAGAGTAGTTGTGTATACACAGAGTATATGTATGTAAATGATAATTTTATAAATAGGAGAAATTTAACAGAATTATGTAGCTATAGATTATATGCATTATCTATCATAGGATATTATCTCTAGGGTCTGAGAAGGAGAACCTTGGCACTAATTGAAAAAAAATCAACCTTTTACCTTCTCCCCTATCTAGCACATGTTTGTTCTTCGGGAGCGCCCTGAAACCGTGTTAATAGATCTCATTCAGAGGACAAAGGATGCAGTAAGAGAGCTGGACAATCTGCAGTATCGAAAGATGAAGAAACTCCTTTTCCAGGAGGCACATAACGGACCAGCAGTAGAAGCACAGGAAGAAGAAGAGGTAACAGATTAAAAAATGACTCCAATATTGAATTTTCACTATTGGTTTCTTTCCTTATGCAGCTTGCCCTGCCATAATTTACCTTATATACCAATGGTTTCCAGGTTGTATTTTCTTACCATTGGTCCTATAAAATCCCAGTTAGGAATAAAAAAAAGATCCCTTTTTCTTGGAGAAATAAGAAAAATTAAAAAGAAATTTTTTTAAGTCTTTAATCATGTTAGATTACATGCCCCTTTATGGTACACAGTGTCATAGTGAAGGTTCTGAGAAGTCCTTTGTTAAAGAAACCTGTTCACTTTTGTTTAATCTAGTCCTTCTCTAATTTCTTGACCACCGAACCTTTTTTGTTTTTTTGAGACGGAATTTTGTTCTTGTTGCCCACGTTGGAGTGCAATGACATGATCTCGGCTCACTGCAACCTCCACTTCCGTGGTTCAAGCGATTCTCCTGCCTCAGCCTTCCAAGTAGCTGGGATTACAGGCGTGCACCACCACACCCAGCTAGTTTTTATTTTATTTTATTTTTTGTATTTTTAGTAAAGATGGGGTTTCACCACATTGGCCAGGCTGGTCTTGAACTCCTGACCTCAGGTGGCCCACCCACCTCGGCTTCCCAGAGTGCTGGGATTACAGGCATGGACCACCGTGCCCAGTCTGAGCCCTTTTTTGACCTATTGTCCAGTTCCATATGATGTGCTTTTGGAAGTTTTTGAAATACAGAATCTGAAGGTTGAATGTACTCTCTCAGAAGTCATGAGAAGGTTACTCGGCATTCTACTGTGTCACCAAAGAAACTTGATTTCATTCCGTCTACACCGTTCTTTTTTTTTTTTTTAGACAGGGTCTTGCTCTGTAGCCCAGTTTGGAGTACAGTGGCACGGTCTTGCCTTACTGCAATCTCTACCTCCTGGGTTCAAGCGATTCTCCACCTTCTGCCTCCCAAGTAGCTGGGTCTACAGTTGCGCCACCATGCCCAACTCATTTTTTATATTTTTAGTAGAGACGGGGTTTCGCTATGTTGGCCAGGCTGTTCTCCATCTCCTGGCCTCAAGTGATTCATCTGCCTCAGCCTCCCAAAGTGCTGGGATTACAGGTGTGAGTCACCGCGCCTGGCCTACACTATTCTAAAATACTCATTTTACAGATACCAAAAGCAAGGCTCCGAATAAATTAAGTTGCTCACTGTAGGTAGAGGAACATGGGTTCAAATTCATACCTCTTTTACTCTCAAGACCAAGTTCTGTCTTGACTCTTAGGGAGAATGGAAATACAGATTTGCTGTAGAAGTGTTACAGAACTTCGTCATGAAGAAATATACATATAAAGTATATTATGTGTAAAGCTATTTTTTCCCTCTAAATATTTTGTTTCGTCTTTGCCCCGTCAGAATCGAAAATTTTATTCTTTTCTATTGGTTTTCATCGAGAGAGACCACTTTGCATTCTGAAACCATGAGCAATAGTTTATTTTCTTTTTCTTTTTAATATCACTAAATAATTAATGAACTGTCAAATATAAGACTTTCTAAACTTACAATTTTTGGATTTGGGGATTTTTTTTAGTTCTTAATGGTAGTCACTAGAAAATTGTTTGGGATTATTTCAGATATGTGAAATACTTTAATAAAGTGAAATTAATAAAATTTTATGTAGTTAAATTGTTAACAATATATGTGTTAGGTTAGGGATGTAAGAAAAGTCCCTATCTACATATATGTCTGTGTTTATTAAATTCTACGTATCTTAAAGAATTCTGGTATGGTAAGACTACTGTAATGTTAGTGCCCAGATACTACACCTGCCTGTTTACATCAGAATAACATTCTTATGATTGTGATTTGAAATAATATAATATGTAATTATTAGTTTACACAAGAATAGGTAGGAATTAATATTAAATTATTTGGTGGTAAAAAGATAATCTAGTGTTCCCCAAAAACCTATCGAAATACAAAAAAGAAAAAGAAAGGAAGGAAGGAAGGGAGGAAGGGAAAGGTAATCTGGAGACTATGTTTTCCAGAAGAAAGAAGAATCTACTTATGAAAGGCTGGTTTAATAAAAAAGAATAACAACTACAGTGAAGTTTCTAATACTTTTTTTTTTAAATGCTCCTTGTGGAGCAGGGCTACCCCATAGGCACTGTACCCAGAATAGCCAGTGCTTTTTTTTTTTTTTTTAAAGGAGGGATTTGTATTAACCAAGAATTATTGAGAAATGAGCAGGATCCCTATATATGCCCCATGAGAAGTATAAATCGTTATTTTAAAATATCAAGCAATGTAGAGAAAATATTCTACTTTGAAAATCACCCAAAAGTGATCAGCTGACTTTGTTTTAGACAGTTGGGTGAGTTTTTTTTGTGATTTACTTGTTGGTCATTTTTGTTTTTCAATAAACTAACAGTTGATAAACTTCTTGGTCTTGGAAAATAAAAGCAATTTCTCATGATAGACCAACTTTCTGAGACTGTCTGGCAAGTGGTATGCTAGGTGCTTATAATCAAGAATTCAGAAGAGAGAGATGTATATAAATATTTGAACTGAATTTGAATGTTCTTTTCTCTTAGGAACAAGATCATGGTGTTGGCCGGACAGGAACAGTGAATGGTGTTGGAAGTAATTAATCCATTCCCAGCATGTCCATCAGTGCCAGCAGCCAAAGCAGTAGTGTTAACAGTCTTCCAGATGTCTCAGATGACAAGAGTGAGCTAGATATGATGGAGGGAGACCACACAGTGATATCTAACAGTTCTGTTATCCATTTAAAACCTGTGAGTATTTGGATTTCATTGAAAAAAATTCAATGTTGGTAAACTGTTTTCTTCGTCTATTAGTTTAAGAGAAGGAAGAAGGAGGAGAAGGAAGTTTCCCAAAGTTTGGAACATGGCCGGGCGCAGTGGCTCATGCCTGTAATCCCAGCACTTTGGGAGGCCAAGCCGGGTGTATCACTTGAGGCCAGGAGTTCAAGACCAGCCTGGCCAACATGGTGAAACCCTGTCTCTACTAAAAATAACAGAAATTAGCCAGGCTTGGTGGCATGTGCCTGTACTCCCATACTCCCAGCTACTTCGGAGGTTGAGGTGGGAGAATCACTTGAACCTGGGAGATGGAGGTTGCAGTGAGCCAAGATTGCATGACTGCAGTCCAGCCTAGGCGACAGAGTTAGACCCTGTCTCAAAAAAAAAGAAGTTTGGAGCATTTTTTAATGAAAAAAGCCTTGTTAACTCCTAACCTGTTATCTCCATTTGGAAAATTATGTTTTGAGAATACAAAAAGAATGTGGAACTATTTCAGAATATTAGAAGAAAAAGTACAGAAACCTCAAATACATTATTTGACATTATTTACATGGAAAATAAAATACTAAAAAATAGGAAGGATACACATAAAATTCATGATAATGGTTGCCTTTGGGGAGTGAGAAATGGTTGGGATGAGTGATGATCAAAAGTGAATTTTATGTTATCCATAATATTTATATCTTTTTTTTTTTTTTTTTGAGACGGAGTCTCACTCTGTCACCCAGGCTGGAGTGCAGTGGTCACAGTCTTGGCCCACTGCAACCTCCACCTCTCAGGTTCAAGCGATCATCCTGCCTCAGCCTCCCGAGTAGCTGGAATATACAGGTGTGTGCCACCCTGCCTGACTAATTTTTGTATTCTTAGTAGAGACGGGGTTTCACCGTGTTGGCCAGGCTAGTCTCAAACTCCTGACCTCAAGTGATCCACCCACCTCAGCCTCCCAAAGTGCTGGGATTATAGGTGTGAGCCACTGCGCCAAGGCGTTTGTATCTTTTTTTTTTTTTTTTTTTTGAGATTGAGTTTTGTTCTTGCTGCCCAGTCTGGAATGCAGTGGCACCATCTTGGCTCATTGCAGTCTCCGCCTCCCAGATTCAAGCAATTCTCATGCCTCAGCCTCCTGAGTAGCTGGGATTACAGGTGTGTGCCACCACGCCCAGCTGATTTTTTGTATTTTTAGTAGAGAAGAGGTTTCATCATGTTGGCCAGGCTGGTCTCAAACTCCCAACCTCAAGTGATCCACCCGCATCGGCCTCCCAAAGTACAGGGATTACAGGCGTGAGCCACTGCACCCAGCCTGTCTCTTAAAAATAAAGCTGAATATAATTGTAGAAAACTAGATTCTGGATTTAGGAAATATGGGTGTTTGCTGCTTTACTCTTTACCTTTTTGAGTGTAAAATGTTAAACCTGAAAAATATTGAAAAGTCAGGTAACTCCTTTTAACAATTAATAGGAATGCTGAGGCTGGGAGTGGAGGCCCACCCCTGTAATTCCAGCATTTTGGGAAGCTGAGGCAGGCAGATTGCTTGAGCCTGGAGTTGGAGACCAGACTGGGCAACATGGTGAAACCCTGTCTCTACAAAAAAATTAAAAATTAGCTCGGCTTGGTGGTGCATGCTTCTAATCTCAGCTACTCAGGAGGCTAAGGTGGTAGGTTCACTTGAACTCAGGAAGTAGAGGTTTTCAGTGAGCCGAGATTGCACCACTGCACCTCTGCCTGGGTGACGGAGTGAGACTATCTCAAAAAACGAACAAACAAAAATAGGAACGCTTCCTTTTTCACTTCACAGCTTGTGTTACTATCTAAAAGTAGTAGGTACAATGGCTAAAAGATGGAAACAACCCAAATTATTCATCAACGGATGTATTAACAAATTGTGGTTTGTAGGCCGGGCACGGTGGCTCACGCCTGTAATCCCAGCATTTTGGGAGGTCGAGGCAGGTGGATTATGAGGTCAAGAGATTGAGACCATCCTGGCCAACATGGTGAAACCCTGTCTTTACTAAAAATACAAAAATTAGCCAGGCGTGGTGGCACACACCTGTAATCCCAGCTATTTAGGAGGCTGAGGCAGAAAAGTCGCTTGAACCCAGGAGGCAGAGGTTGCAGTGAGTTGAGATCATGCCACTGCACTCCAACCTGGCAACAGAATGAGACTCTGTCTCAAAAAACCAAAAAAAATTGTGGTTTTTACATCCAGTAGAATATTATTCAGCTACAAAAAGGAATGAAGTTCTAATACATGCCGCCATATGGATGAATCTTGAAAACATTTTAAGTGATGAAAGTCTAGACACAGAAGGACAAATATTGTATAATTAAACTTGTATAAAATATCTAAAATGTGCAAATTCATAGTGACAGAAAGTACGTTAGGAGTTACCAGAGACTGGGTGGAGGTCAAAATAGTTATTGCTAATGGACGTAGTTTCTGTTTGGGTTGATGAAAAAGTTTTGGAAGTAATACTGATAGCTGTACATCATTGAGAGTATAATTAATACCACTTAAAATGGTTAAAATAGGCTGAGCACTGTGGCTCATTCCTATAATCCTAGCACTTGGGGAGGCTGAGGCAGGAGTATCTCTTGAGGCCAGGAGTTCAAGACCAGCCTGGACAACATAGGGAGACTCCATCCATTAAAGAAAAAAAAAAAATAGCCAGGTGTGGCACATGCCTGTGGCCCCAGCTACTGAAAAGGCTGAGTAGTGAAGGCCCACTGAGTAGTGGAGGATCGGTTGAGCCTGGGAGATCAAGGATGCGGTGAGCCTTGATCATACCACTGCACTGCATTCTGGGCAACAACAACAACAACAACAAATTATTACCACAATTAATTGGTTGCTACTTAACTGATGTTCTATTCAGCTAACAGATTGAGTTCAGGGAAAGATATCAGTCCTTCAATTTTTTCCAACTGTTTTTGTTTTTGCTTATTTTGGACAGATGGCAGAAGTATTATAAATATAACTCCATTGCTTCCAAAACCCAAGAGGCTTTGAGCAGTTTTCTACTACTCCTGTTTAAAACATTGACTATATTGGCTACATGTTTCATCATCTTTGTTTTCAAGTTATGTTAAAGCTTTTCAATTTTGCACATAATCAGTAGGATATAAATCTAGTCATGTGCCAGGCACAGTGACTCACGCCTGTAATCCCAGCACTTTGGGAGGCCAAGGCAGGCAGATTGCTTGAACCCAGTAGTTCAAGACCAGCCTGGGCAACATGGCAGAACCCCATCTCTACAAAAAATACAAAAGTTAGCTGGCATGGTGGTGCATGCCTGTGGTCCCAGCTACCTGGGAGGCTGAGGTGGGAGGATCGCTTGAGCCCAGGAAGTTGAGGCTGTGGTGAGCCATTCAGGGTACCACTGCACTCCAACCTGGGTGACAAAGTGAGACCCCGTCTCAGACAAACAAATCAATCAATCAATCTAGTCATGTGCATTTTCTTATCCTGAGTCTGTGTACTATTTTATACCCTGTACAGATAATTTATTCTAATTCTAATTATATTGAAAATAAAGCTGGACATATTGGCTTGCACCTGTAATCTCAGGATTTTGGAAGGCCAAGGAGGGAGGATTACTTGAGCCCAGGAGTTCTAGACCAGCCTAGTCAACATAGGGAGACCTTGTTTCTAAAAAAATAAAATTAGCCTAGCCTGATGGCCCGTGCCTGTAGTTCCAACTTCTCAGGAGTCTGAGGTAGGCAGATGGTTTGAGCCTGGGAGGTTGAAGCTACAGTGAGCTATGGTCACATTACTGTACTTCAATCTGGGTGACACAGCGAGACCCTGTTTCTAAAAAAGAAGAAAAGAAAAAAGAACAGCATTTCTACTTTTTGGTTTTGCTTTTTAAAATTATGTCTTTGAGATTTGTTGATCAAGTTGTCTTTAAACTTTAATTTCCATAAAGATTCAAACAAACTGTTCACCTTACATAGTATTATCTTTTTTTTTTTTTGCCTAGGAGGAAGAAAATTACAGAGAAGAGGGAGATCCTAGAACAAGAGCATCAGATCCGCAGTCTCCACCCCAAGTATCTCGTCACGAATCACACTATCGTAATCGAGAACACTTTGCTACTATACGGACAGCATCACTGGTATGTACTTCCCCGAATTAAAGATAAATATATTTTTCATGTGGGACCTTGGCAATATAAACTCAAGTATAGCTATATATTGTTTTGTATTTGGGTTTTATTTTGCGAAATATTCATTTAATATTTAATTGCCTATTATGAGAAAGATGTTATTCAGAGAACTCTGAGAAATGTTAAACTAACAATGTCTTCATGACACGTACACAAAAAACGAGTATGTTAGAATATCTTAAATACTTAAGATAACTACAGGACACTAAACAGGGATTCAGATAACTTTTTTTTAGGAGCATAAATGAAGTATTTATGAAATAAATAGTTTGAGTATTTAAAATTAGTAAGATTTAGGCACAGCAGGGAGAGGAGAAATGAATGGTATTTCCATATAAGAAGAATATGGACAGTAAGGAAATATATTGTGTGAGGCTAACCAGAAGGAGGGGAATATTGGAAATGGCAAGCAGTACAATTTGGTATACTCTAAAGTCATTCTGATTTTCCAAATAATATGGATTATCTGTTCATTACAAGGATGCTATAATGGGGTACTTAAAATCTTAATCAGACAGATAAGTAAAACCAAAGCATGATAAAGGATACTAAGGATACAACAAAATTACATTAAGATACCATAAGAAAAGTAGGCTATTAGAAAACATAATGGAAAGGCTGGGTTTGGTCGCTCATGCCTGTAATCGTAGAACTTTGGAAGGCTGAGGTGGGTGGATCACTTGAGCTCACGAGTTTAAGAACAGCCTGGGCAACATGGTGAAACCCCATCTCTACAAAAAATACAAAATTCAGGTGGGGTGTGGTAGCTCACACCTGTAATCCCAGCAATTTGGGAGGCTGAAGTAGGTGAATCGACTGAAGTCAGGAGTTTGAGACCAGCCTGGCCAATATGGCGAAACCCCGTCTCTGCTAAAAATAGAAAAATTAGCTGGGCATGGTGGTGCACTTGTAATTCCAGCTATTCAGGAGGCTGAGACTGGAGAATCGCTTGAACCTAGGAGGCAGAGGCTGCGGTGAGCTGAGATCGTGCCTCTGCACTCCAGCCTGGGTGACAGAGGTAGATCCTATCTCCAAAAAAAAAAAAAAAATTCAGCTGGGTGTGGTGATGTGTTCCTGTAGTCCCATATACTTGGGAGACTGAGTCAGGAGCATTGATTGAACCCAGGAGATGGAGGTTGCAGTGAGCCGAGATCACACCACTGTACTGCAGCCTGGGTGACAGTGCCAGATCCTGTCTCAAAAAAAAAAAAAGAAAGAAAGAAAGAAGTGAGGCCGGGCGTGGTGGCTCACACCTGTAATCCCAGCACTTTGGGAGGCCGAGGCAGGTGGATCACCTGAGGTCAGGTTTCAAGACCAACTTGGCCAACATGGTGAAACCTCGTCTCTACTAAAAATACAAAAATTAGCTGGGCATGATGGCAGGCACCTGTAATCCGGGTTACCTGGCAGGCTGAGGTAGGATAATTGCTTGAATCCAGGAGATGGAGGTTGCAGTGAGCTGAGATTGCACCATTGCACTCCAGCCTGGGCATCAGAGCGAGACTCTGTCTCAAAAACTAAAAAAGAAAAAAAAGAAAAGAAAACATGATGGGGGAAAAAAAAGATATGATAGCTATCTGACTTCTCAACAATGTAATAAGCAGATGTTATAAATCCTATGCTGTCATGAGTCTATATGACGTGGGGTTGGGAACGTAGTACCCTACCCTAAGTCAGGTTATTCCTACTATTCTGCAACATGTAAATAGCACTTTTAACAGAGCAAGTGGTAAAGATTGCTTAATTTTTGCATGACTATTTTGATAATTATGTTGAGAAGGACCAGCTTAAAGGAAAACCTCTCAGTAACTTGGCATAAGTTAAATGTTTCCCAAAGAAGTGTTCTATTCCAAAGTTTGGCTTCCTCAAATCAATTAAGGGCATTTTAAATTTACAGATTTAATGAATCAAAATCTGAAAAAGATTTGTATTTTTAAAGCCAGTAGTTTCATTTATGTCACTTAAAATATTCAGAGCATAAGTAGTTTTTTAATACAAATAAGCATAGCTGTATTATTCATTATAAGTGCTATATACCATCACAGCCTACCTTCTTCTGACTTGGATTTTTTTCATTCAATAAAATGCACAGATCTTAGGTATTCAATTTGAAGAGTTTTTACAATTCTATACACCTGCCTTAACCGTCTGAAACAAGGTACAGTTATCCCTCAGTATCTGTGAGGGATTGGTTCCAGGACCCTCCATAAATCCCCAAATCCACAGATAAGCCAAGTCCCTTATATAAAATGGTGGCCCGGGCGGAGTGGCTCACAGCTGTAATCCCAGCACTTTGCCAGGCCGAGGCAGGCAGATCACTTGAGGTCAGGAGTTCGAGACCAGCCTGGCCAGCATGGTGAAACCTCATCTCTATTAAAAATACAAAAATTAACCGGGCGTGGTGGCAGGCACCTGTAATCCCAGCTACTCAGGAAGTTGAGGCAGGAAAATTGCTTGAACCCGAGAGGCGGAGGTTGCAGTGAGCTGAGATCGTACCATTGCACCCCAGCCTGGGGGACAAGAGCGAGACTTCATCTCAAAAAAAAAAAGAAAAAAATCAGGAGTTCAAGACCAGCCTGGCCAACATGGTGAAACCCTGTCTCTACTAAAAATATAAAAAATTAGCTGAGTATGGTGGCGCATACCTGTAGTCCCAGCTACTCAGGAGGCTGAGGCAGGAGAATCACTTGAACCTAGGAGGCAGAGGCTGCAGTGAGCCAAGATCGTGCCACTGTACTCCAGCGTGGGCAACACACCGACCCTGTCTTTGAAAAAGAATTGAAAATGTTATCAACAAGATGAAAGATAACAAGTGTTGGCAAAAAGGGGAACTCTTACACATTGTTGGTGATAACCTAAATTAGTATGGCCATTTTGGAAAATGGTATGAAGGTTCCTCAAAAAACTAAAAATAGAACTGCCATATGATCCAGTAATTCCACTTCTGGGTACATATTTAAAGGAACTGAAATTCATATGTTGAAGGGATATCTGCACTCCCATGTTCATTGCAGCATTATTCACAATAGCTAAGTCATGGAATCAACCTAAGTGCATATCAGTGGATGAGTGGATAAGGAAAATGTAGCATATATACACAATGGAATACCATTCAGCCTTAAAAAGGAAAAATCCTGTCATTTGCAAGAACATGCATGAATCTGGAGGATTATGCTAAGTGAGATAAGGCAAGCACAGAAAGACAGACACCACATGATCTCGCTTTTATGTGGAGTCTAGAAAAATAAAGTTGAACTCATAGAATAGAGGTAGAGAGTAGAGTGGTGGTTACTAGAGGTTAGGGACAGAGAGAAATGGGGAGTTGTTGATCAAAATGTACAAATTTCAGAAAGATAGGAGGAACGGGTTTTGAGATATTTTGCATAGCCAGTTGACTATAGTTGACAATAGTGTATTGAATATTTTGAAATAACTAAAAGTAAATCTCAAATATCTCACCATAAAAAATGATGCATAAAGAAGGTGATGGATATGTTAGATTGATTTAATTCAATATGTTGAATACATATATCAGTATATCACACATGTACTCCATAAATGTATACAATTATGATTTGTCAATCAAAACATTAACATTTTTTAAAGGAATTGAAAACAGGTACTCAGACAAGTGCATGTACACACATAGTCACAGCAGCAGTTTTCACAGTGGCCAAAAGACGGAAACAATACAAATGTCCATCAGTGGATGAGTGGATAAACAAATTGTGCTATATACATACAGTGGAATTTTATTCAGCTGTAAAAGGAAATGAAATACTGATGCATACTACAACATGGATAAACTTCAGAAACATGCTAAGTGAAAGAAACCAGCCATAAAAACTCATTATATTATGCTTGACACTACTTATATGAAATATACAGAATAGAGTATATCTATGAGACAAAAGCCAGATTGATGAATTTACCAGAGGGAGAATGGGCTTTAGCAACTGGTATAGAATTTTCTTTTGAGATGATAAATGTGCTTTATAACTAGATAAAGGTGGTAATTTTGTATGCAGTAAATATATACTAAACACACTGAATTGTTCATTTTAATTGATTGATTTTTTATGTCATGTAAGTATTTTATCTTGTTTTTTTTTTGTTTTGTTTTTTGTTTTTGTTTTTGTTTTTTTGAGACGGAGTCTCACTCAGCTTACCAGGCTGGAGTCACGGTGGTGATCTCAGCTTAATGCAGAGCTCCGCCTCCCAGGCCCACACCATTCTCCTGCCTCAGCCTCCGGAGTAGCTGGGACCACGAAGCACCACCGTGCCCAGCTAATTTTTTTTTGTATTTTTAGTAGAGATGAAGTTTCACCAAGTTGGCCAGGATGGTCTGATCTCTGACCTTGTGATCCGCCTCCGCCTTCAGAAAGTGCTCAGGATTATAGGCGTGAGCCACCGCGCCTGGCTTATCTTGATTTTTAAATTGAAGTTTTCTTTTTTTTTTTTTTTTTTTGCTTTAGCGGTCAGTGTTTTTGTGTTCTGCCCAAGAAGTGTTTGCTTACTCAGGGTTATAAAGATATTTGTGTTTCTGCTTTTGTGATTCTGGGTTTCACATTCAGGTCAAATGATCCTTTTACTCCAGGGTTATAAAGATATTTTGTGTTTCTGCTTTGTGATTCTGGGTTTTACATTCAGGTCAAATGATCCTTCTCAAATTAATTTTTATATATGACATAAGTGATATAGAGAGTCAAGGTTTATTTGTTTTTTTCTATGTAAAGAACCAGTTGTTTCAGCAAGATTTGCTAAAAACACTATCCTCTGAATTAACTTGACTTTCTTGGTAGAAAAATCAATTGAACATATGTGGATCTCTTTCTAGTTTTTATTCTCTTTCCTTGATCTACTTAGCCTATCTTAAAGCCAGTACTGCATTGTCTTGCGTACTGTAGGGCTGCATGTCCTCCAAATATTTTTGTTCCTCAAGATTGTTTTGGCTATTCTAGATTCTTTTATATCCCCATATAAATTTTAGAACCAGTCTATTTCTTTAAAAGACTTGTTGGAAATTTTCTTGGAATCTGCTAACATTGGGATATTTTATACTAATTCCCTACTTAGTTAATATAGAATGGTTTAAAAGGCTTTTCGAAGAAGAATGTTTTATTTTCTTCTTTTCCTTCCATTATTTGTATGTCTAGGTTACAAGGCAAATGCAAGAACATGAGCAGGATTCTGAGCTTAGAGAACAAATGTCTGGCTATAAGCGAATGAGGCGACAACATCAAAAGCAACTGATGACTCTGGAAAATAAGCTAAAGGCTGAGATGGACGAACATCGCCTCAGATTAGACAAAGATCTTGAAACTCAGCGTAACAATTTTGCTGCAGAAATGGAGAAACTTATCAAGAAACACCAGGCTGCTATGGAGAAAGAGGTGGCTTATTCAGTATTGTTAATTTGCTTGTTTTAGGTTTTGAATGTCTCAGAATTAACCAACATGGCAGTTTGATGTTAGAGTATCTGTTCCCAGGAACCAAGCAAATTGGGGAAAAGGAGAAACATTTATGTAACTTATATAAAGGTTTCTGTACATTGATATTACAAAAAAAGGTGATATCTGTGTGTCTTATCTCTCACTAATTTTGTGTGTGCATCATTTAAAACAAATCAGTCTTAAAACTATTCATTGGGGTAGTCCACTTTATAGTTTATGTAATAGCCAGCAAAATTTTGAATATGAAAAATTGATCTATTTTAATATCAAGTACTAGGCCTGGGAACTAATAAGACATGGGACCATTTCCTGATTCTTGAGAGTTTTATAGTGTCATAATCGGTAAGTTACTCAGTTATTTTAAGCTTTTAATTTTCTGGTTATCTGAGGAGTTTGCTAAATCTCCTGTCATTAGGTGATTTAGGTCTCAAAAAGTCATTTTTATTCTCTTTTTTGTATTTTTTGGAAACTACCCTTGAATTTCTGGCAGCATTTTAATATCAGAATGATTGAAGATTACTGTAATAAATACAATGTTGTAGGTTATAAGTTATGAAAGATTCAGATTCATGAATTTGATTCAGAATCAAATTCATTTGATTATTGACAAATAATTGTCATTATTTTACATGATAAAAGTTTAGTTTTTAGGATTTTTGTTATGTGAAACCTTTTCTTCTAATGTTTTTGGTTTCCATTGTTTTACTTTTATTCGATAGTCATGTTTGTCAAGTAGAATGTAGAATTCTCAGTAAATTCACACATATCATTAAAATATGTCCAGGTAGTTTGCAGTGAGGCATTATTTATCATAGCTACCCTCTTCTCCCTTTTCACAAAAAAAGAACCATTCTCATAGTAGTAGGGACTTTGACAAAATAATTTATGATATAAATAAATATTTGATTTTGAAATAATTTGATAAAACAATGTATACATATTTAAAATCCTCTGGGCATTGAATATTTTTATTTTTTATTTTATTATTATTATTTTTTGAGACAATCTCTCTCTGTTGCCCAGGCTGGAGTGTAGTGGTGTGATCTCAGCTCACTGCAACCTCTGCTCTCCAAGTTCAAGCAATTCTCCTGCCTCAGCCTCCCAAGTAGCTGAGACTACAGGTGCATCTACCATGCCTGGCTAATTTTTGTATTATTTTTATTTTAGTAGAGAAGGGGTTTCACCATGTTGATCAGGCTGGTCTCAAATCCCTGACCTCAGTTGACCTTCCCTTCTCAACCTCCCAAAGTGCTGGGATTATAGGTGTGAGCCACCACACCTGACAGATATTATTTTTAATAGCTTGGGAAAAGGGGATACTAACATATTTAGGAAAACAATTGCTGAAGCAGATGTGCAATGTGATAACAAATTTGTTTTAAAAGTATATAACCAGGATGGGTGCAGTGGCTCACACCTGTAATCCCACCACTTTGGGAGGCCGAGGTGAGAAGATTACTTGAGCCCAGAAGTTCAAGACCAGCCTGGGCAACATAGGAAGACTCTGTTTCCACAAAAATAAAAAATAAAAAAATGAACTGAGCATGGTGACATACACCTGTAGTTCCAGCTACTCGGGAGGCTGAGGTGGGAGGATCACTTGAGCTCAAAAGGAGGCTGCAGTGAGCCATGATTGTACCACCGCACTCAAACCTGGGTGAGAGAGTGAGACCCTGTAATACATTTTTTGAGATGGGCACTCGCCATGTTACCCACTGGTCTTGAACTCCTGGGCTCAGGTGATACTCCCACCTCAGCTTCTCAAAGTGTTGGGATTACAGGCATGAGCGACAATGTCTACTTAATTATATACATACACATATATATGTGTGTGTGTGTATATTTGAGACATGTACGTTTATAGAAAAAATTAGAGGCCGGGCTCAGTGGCTCACATCTGTAATCCCAGCACTTTGGGAGGCTGAGGTGGGTGGATCACCTGAGGTCAGGAGTTCAAGATCAGCTTGGCCAACATGGCGAAACCCTGTCTCTACTAAAAATACTAAAAATACAGGTGTCACACACCTGTCATTGCAGCCACTCGGTAGGCTGACACAGGAGAATCACTTTAACCCGGGACGCGGAGGTTGCAGTGAGCCAAGCTTGTGCCGCTGCACTGCAGCCTGGGTAACAGTGAGACTCCATCTCAAAAGTAGTAATTTTTAAAAAAGAAAAAATTACAAAAGATATGCACCAAAACATAAGATTTTTCTTGTTTTTCTGTATTTTGTAAATGTTCTACAGTGAATGTGTATTGGATATAGAATCAGAAATAAAGTATAGCATTTGTTTCGTTTTACTAAGGGATTGAGGGTTGGAAGGAGGATATACTTCTGTTAAATGAAATAAAAAGTTGACAACGTGTTTGACGTTTCAAAGATGAGTTTCATCTTACTGATTCTATGAGGTTCAAATGGTAAGGATGCCAAGTAGCACGTGTTTATAATTTGGTTCAGTCTTTTATTTTGGTAATGTTTCTACCGATTTCTTGTTCTTAGAAAATAAAAGATATTCTTAGTGATGTATATTAAACTGCTACTTTAAATCTATCTACTTAACTAATTTGATTCATTTTTCAAACTTCATATAGGCTAAAGTGATGTCCAATGAAGAGAAAAAATTTCAGCAACATATTCAGGCCCAACAGAAGAAAGAACTGAATAGTTTTCTAGAGTCCCAGAAAAGAGAGTATAAACTTCGAAAAGAGCAGCTTAAAGAGGTACTTATGTCATAAAACTTTTCAATAAATTTTCTGCTTATTAATTATATCCAATGGTGACCAACTCATATCCAATTATATCCAGTGGTGACCAACTCATATCCAACTTATATCCAATGGTGACCATTGGATATCCTCACTGGCATTAGGATAAAATTATCTTTTGTTGTTTGTGGTCACTAAATGGATATTAGTTTAAATGATGACTTTAATTATAATCAGTTACCCTTAACTGAGTTATTTAGTTGAGGATCTAAAATGAATCATTTCCTGAAAATATACTTTTTTTATGTTTTTATATTTATTTATTTATTTATTTATTTATTTTTAAGACAGAGTCTTGCTCTGTCACCCAGGCTGGAGTGCAATGGTGTGATACCAGCTCACTGCAAGCTCCGCCTCCCAGGTTCACGCCATTCTCCTGCCTCAACCTCCTGAGTAGCTGGGACTATAAGTGCCTGCCACCATGCCCGGCTAACATTTGGTATTTGTTTTTAGTAGAGACAGGGTTTCACCATGTTAGCCAGGATGGTATTGATCTCCTGACCTCGTGATCCGCCCACCCCGGCCTCCCAAAGTGCTGGCATTACAGGTGTGAGCCATTGCGTCCAGCCTTATGTTCTTATTTTTTGTATGTATTTTTTGAGACAGTCTTACTCTGTTCCACAGGCTGGAGTGCAGTGGCACAATCATAGCTCACTGCAGCTTCGACCTCCCATGCTCAAGCAATCCTGCCTTAGCCTCCCCAGTAGCTGTGAACACAAGCACGCACCACCACTCCTGGCTAATTTTAAAATTTATTTTTTGTAGAGACAGGGTCTTGCCATGTTGCCTAGTCTGGTCTCAAACTCCTGGGCTCAAGCAGTCTGCCCACCTTGGCTTCCCAAAGTGCTGGGATTATAGGCATAAGTCAGTGTACCTGATCACATTTTGTTATGTGAAACCTTTTCTTCTAATGTTTTTGGTTTCCCATTGTTTTACTTTGAAAGTAAACAGAATAAGGGGGATATTTGCTTATTAGTTTTTTTTTAGGTAGAATATGCTGATTATTTCTTTGTGGCTACAGGGTTTCATATTTGTTTGCCCTTTCTTGTGTTGCCCCCTCCCTCCGCTTTTTTTTTTTTTCCCGAAACGCAAGTCTCACTCTGTCGTACAGGCTGGAGTGCAGTGGTGTGATCTTGGCTCACTGCAACCTCCCCTCCCCCGAGGTTGAAATGATTCTCCTGCCTTAGCCCCCCGAGTAGCTGGGATTACAGGTGTGTGCCACCATGCCCAGATACTTTTTATATATTTTTTTAGTAGAGACGGGGTTTCACCATATTAGCCAGGCTGGTCTCAAACTCCTGACCTCAGGCAGTCTACCCACCTCGGCCTCCCAAAGTGCTGGGATTACAAGCGGGAGCCACCACTCCTGGCTCTTGTGCTGCCTTTTTTTTTTTTTTTTTTTGAGACAGAGTCTCACTCTGTTGTCCAGGCTAGGGTGCAGTGGCATAATCTCGGCTCACTGCAACCTTTGCCGCTTTGGGTTCAAGTGATTCTCCTGCCTCAGTCTCCTGAGTAGCTGACATTACAGGCGCCTGTCACCACGCCCGGCTGATTTTTGTATTTTTAGTAGAGATGAGGATTTCACCATCTTGGCCAGGCTGGTCTTAAACTCATGCCATTCTCCTGCCTCAGCCTCCCGAGTAGCTGGGACTACATGTGCCTGCCACCAAGCTTGGCTAATTTTTTTGTATTTTTAGTAGAGACAGGGTTTCACGATGTTAGCCAGAATGGTCTCGATCTCCTGACCTCATGATCTGCCCGCCTCAGCCTCCCAAAGTGCTGAGATTACAACTGTGCCTGGCCTGACAACTTCTTAAAGAGGATCATTATTCAAGATAGGCACCAGGAACGGAAAATGATATGTCTTTTAATTTACACTCCTGTCTTACAGGATGATTGAAAGTTTTAGTTCATATAATTAATTAGCATACTGTGATACATCGATTGATTTTGATAAAATAAGTATAATCAATTTGATATTAATGATTTGTGTGTGTGTAGGAATTTACCTTATAATCAGATATGTATGTCTTGTTGTATACATATTGGTGGCACAAAGACTTGCTCTATACCCTGCCAAGTGAGCTTCATTGACAAGATTTTTCCAACTCTAAATGGTATAATTTGCAGTATATTCCCATGACTATAATTCAAAAGCCAAACTCTATACTGGAACTTTGAGTTTGAAACAATAGTAAATAGAGTTTCCAACTATAAATAAATCTCCAACAAAATGCAGTTGTTTTGTTTTCCAGTGAAATTTAAAACAATGTGGAAAATCATTAATTTTGATTTGTTCAGTGGTTATTAATGCTGAAAATTAAATACCATTCATAAAGTAGGTCTCTATTCTCCCATGGTTTTGTTTATTTTCCATTTAATTTCCAGTTCTCTTATATCGAATCCTTCCATAATTTTGCCAAAAACTTAGCATCAAGGATGTCAAAAACCAAGAAGCAAGAATAACAAAATATTCAACACATTTTTGCTGAGATTCACTTACAATTTAAGCACTATCTTCTGTTTCTTCTTGGAAGAGTTTAAGATATATTTTACTTTGTCAACCAATCATTGTGTACTGAAGTTAGAACCATCAATGTAGCTTATTGCAGAGACAAAGGTACATTTCTGGTGTGCCATATCCTCTCTTTCCTTTCCGTTTGAGTGAGTAACTCATAAGATCCTAGGCCAGGGCACAGTGGCTCACGTCTATAATCCCAATAGTTTGGAGCAGAGGTGGGCGGATCCGCGCAGGTCAGGGAGATCTGAGGCCCTATCCCAACTCAACATGGTGAGACCGTCTCTACTAAAAGCCCCGCGTCAACTGGGCATGTGGCAGGTCTGTAACCCAGCTGCCCGGGAGGCTGGTAGAGGAAGAAATAACTCCCAATTCTGAGAGGAGGTTGCAGTGAGCTGAAGATCACACCACCGCTCCAGCTGGGTGACAGAGAAACAAGACCCTATATAAAAAAAAAAGTCTCAATCCACCTTGCCTTCTAGAGGTCATTGGTGTTGCCCTGCCTGAGTATTGGAAAGAAAACTACACTTAAAGACTTTTATTTGTTATTTATTGTTTATTATTTATTTATTGTTGAGGCGGAAGGAGTTTCTCTTGTTGCCCAGGCTGGAGTGCAATGGCGTGATCTCGGCTCACTGCACTGCAACCTCTGCCTCCTGGGTTCAAGTGATTCCCTCTCAGCTTCCCATGATGGCTGGGATTTGCAGCCCTGCATCCACCATGCCTGCTAATTTTGTATTTTTACTCAGCTTCCCGAGTAGCTGGGATTGCAAGCCTGCATCACCATGCCTGGCTAATTTTGTATTTTTAGTAGAGATGGGGTTTCTCCATGTTGGTTAGGCTGGTCTTGAACTCCTGACCTCAGGTGATCTGCCCACCTCAGCCTCCTAAAGTGCTGGGATTACAGGCGTGAGCCACCGCACCCAGCCAATAACTTTTATTTAAAATTTACTGATGCAAAATGATAACATTCATTTAGGTAATTTTAATGGGGTTTTTGTTGTGGTGGTGGTTTTGTTTTTTTGAGACGGAGTTTCACTCTGTCACCCGGGCTGGAGTGCAGTGGCGCAATCTCGGCTCACTGCAACCTCTGCTTCCTGGGTTCAGGCGACTCTCCTGCCTCAGCCTCCCAAGTAGCTGAGACTGCAGGCATCTGCCACCATGCCTGGCTAAGTGTTTTTTTTTTTTTTGAGACTGGGTTTCGCTCTTTTTGCCCAGGCTGGAGTGCAGTGGCGCTATCTCAGCTCACTGCAACCTCCACCTCCTGGGCTCGAGTGATTCTCCGCCTCACCCTCCCGAGTAGCTGGCATTATGGGCATGTGCCACCATGCCTGGCTAATTTTGTATTTTTGGTAGAGGAAGGGTTTCTCCATGTTGGTCAGGCAAGCTCCTCCTCCCAGGTTCATGCCATTCTCCTGTCTCGGCTTCCCGAGTAGCTGGGACTACAGGCGCCCGCCATCACACCTGGCTAATTTTTTGTATTTTTAGTAGAGATGGGATTTCACCATGTTAGCTAGGATGGTCTCGATCTCCTGATCTCGTGATCCGCCTGCCTAGGCCTCTCAAAGTGCTGGGATTACAGGCGGGAGCCACCACGCCCAGCCTAATTTTGTATTTTAGTAGAGACAGTTTCACCATGTTGGCCAGGCTGGTCTCGAACTCCTGACTTCAGGTGATCCGCTCACCTTGGCCTCCCAGAGAGCTGGGATTACAGGCATGAGCCACTGTGCCTGGCCCTATTTTTATGTATTTTTACCTGAGTTGTTTTTTATGTTGCCAGGAGCTAAATGAAAACCAGAGTACCCCCAAAAAAGAAAAACAGGAGTGGCTTTCAAAGCAGAAGGAGAATATACAGCATTTCCAAGCAGAAGAAGAAGCTAACCTTCTTCGACGTCAAAGACAATACCTAGAGCTGGAATGCCGTCGCTTCAAGAGAAGAATGTTACTTGGTCGTCATAACTTAGAGCAGGACCTTGTCAGGGAGGTAAGTTTGAGTGATGAGAAATTTTAAATCCTTTATCAAAAGCATCTTTCCTGAAAATACTCCAATTTCATTCTAGTCTCAGGGACTTTGCACTTTTACTTGCCTCTGTCTGAATCATTCTTCCTCAGATATTCACATGGAGTGTTTGCTCCCTGTATATCTTTACTCAGATGTCATTTCCTTAAAATCTCTTAACCACCAATTTTTTTTTCCCCCAAGAAAGAGTCTCTCCATGTCGCCTAGTATGGAGTGCAGTGGCGCCATCTTGGCTCAGTGCAATCTTCACCTCCTGGGTGCGAGCGATTTTCGTGCCTCAGCCTCCCAGGGTAGCTAGGATTACAGGTGTGCACCACCAAACCCAACTAAGTTTTGTATTTTTAGTAAAGATGAACTTTCGCCATGTTGGCCAGGCTGTTCTCAAACTCCTGGCCTCATGCAATCTGCCTGTCTCAGCCTCCCAAAGTGCTAGGATTACAAGCATGAGCTACCATGCCTGGACTTAACCACCACATTCTTCTGCTTTATTTAAATATTATTCTTTGCAGCCAGGTATGGTAACTGTAATCCCAACACTTTGGGAGGCCAAGGCAGGCAGATCACTTGGTTCTAGGAGTTTGAGACCAGACAGGGCAACCTGACAAATGCCTGTCTCTACAAAAAATATGTTTATTAAAAAAAATTAGCTGGATGTGGTGTGCACCTGTAGTCCCAGCTACCTGGCTGAGGCATGAATATGCCTGAGCCCAGGAGGTTGAGGCTGCAGTGAGCCATGATCATGCCACTGCACTCCAGCCTGAGCTACAGAGCAAGACCCTGTCTCAAACAGACAGACAACTAACTAAATATGTTCTTCTTTGCACTTTTCTTTTTCACGTGAATATGTGTATGTTCACAAAACCATGTGTTTCTGCAGGGTAGGGAGGTTGTTCCTGACTCCCTCACTACAATGGAAGTTGTATGAAATCACAGAATTGATGCAGTTTTTTTATTCTCCAGTTTCTGATTCATAGTAGGCATTCAATAAATCTTAACCAATCCACAAATGAAAAATGTTGATTTTTTATTTTTACTTTTATTTATTTATTTATTTTGAAACAGAGTCTCGCTCTTTCGCCCAGGCTGGAGTGCAGTGGCGATCTCGGCTCACTGCAACCTCTGCCTCCCAGGTTCAAGCAATTCGCCTGCCTCAGCCTCCCAAGTAGCTGGGACTACAGGCATGCATCACCACACCGGGTTGATTTTTTTATTTTTAGTAGAAACGGGGTTTTGCCGTGTTGGCCTGGCTAGTCTCCAATTCCCAACCTCAAGTGATCCGCCTGCCTCGGCCTCCCAAAATGCTGGGATTACAGGCATGAGCCACCATGGTCAGCCTTGAGTTTTACATATGAGGAGATTCATTGGGCAGTTTTTGCCTCTGACCTGAAATGGGTTCCATGAAGTGTGTGTTGCCCTTAAATACATTTTTATCATCATGTGATTATTAATTGGGTAAATGTTGTAGAAACTCTTCTGCCAATGAAAACAATTATTCTTGGCTGGATGTGGTGGCTCATGGCTGTGATCCTAGCACTTTGGGAGGCCGAGGCAGGTGAATCACTTGAGGTCAGGAGTTTGAGACCAGCATGGCCAACATAGTGAAACCCCATCTCTACTTTTAGTAGAGATACAAAAAAATGAGCCGGACGTGGTGGCGGACACCTGTAATCCCAGCTACTTGGGAGGCTGAGGCATGAGAATCAATTGAACCTGGGAGATGGAGGTTGCAGTGAGCTGAGATCGTGCTGCTATACTCCAGTCTGGGCCACAGAGCAAGTCTCCATCTCAAAAAAAGAAAAGAATTATTTTCATTATTAAGATACCTGTGAGTATAGATAAATTTCTCAGAGTGGGTTGAAATAATATATTTCATGCTTGTAATATGTTATGCTTGTAATATAGCATAATTGTGCGAGTTTACTAATAAATTCAAATTAAAACAGTTGCATCCATTATGTAAGAAAAATGTAAAAGATTGATACATTCAATCCTAGTAATGGTGTGTGTTAACAGACACTATTAGTAAGACTATAAATTGATATTGCCCCTTTGGAGCATGATTTAACAGTAGCTTTTAAAATATAATACGTAGGTAGCATTTATCCATCAAATCCACTTCTAGAACTCTGTCCTACAGAAATAACAACATGATTCTATGATACAGTATACATAGATACTTATTGAAACTTTGTTTATAAAAGTGAAACGGGCTGGAGCAGTGGCTCTCACCTATAATACTTGAGGTCAAGAGTTCAAGGACAACCTGGTCAACGTGGTAAAACTGTCTCTACTAAAAATATTTTTAAAATGAGCTGGGTGTGGTGGTGCACGCCTGTAATCCCAGCTACTCAGGAGGCTGAGGCACGAGAATTGCTTGAACCTGGGAGGCAGAGGTTGCAGTGAGCTGAAATCGCACCACTGCACTCCAGCCTGGGCGACAGAGTGAGACTCTGATTAAAAAACAAAACAAAACAAAACAGTGAAACATAGAAGCAGCTTAAATGTCCAAACACAGAGGAATGATTGAAAGAATTATGGCATCACAAAGCACTAGGTTACAATGAAACTTTAAAAATTTCTATGTACTGGCTGGGTGCAGTGGCTCACACCT